CCGAAATGTTAAATAGACTTGCTGCGGTAATCTTATTTTTTCCGTAGAGCTACAATTAATTACATACTTAAAATATTCGTAACATTATTATCTGCCAGAAGTCTAAAGGTTTATATCTGCAAGAAATTTCGTTTGGTCACAATTTGTAATTCAAGCGTACTGTTAGTTATGTACTAAAATTTTCAGATTGTTATTTATTCAAATAATGATAATATATTCAAGTAATCATTAAATAATTTACTTTCAACTTAAAAGAAATATACTAAAACTTCTCGAAAGGAATAAAACGTTTGAATAAATAATAACAACCTATTCTCTCTCTTTTATTTATTACATTTTTCTATGACGCTTACAGAAAAAATGCATTTATATTTGTATGTAAATAATTAATAATCTTTGTTGTTTCTTACTGCACTTTTCAGCTGCAACACCTCCTGGCGTTTCGATTTTCATAGAAGTTATAATCTTGGAGGAAAATTACTAGAAAGTATCTACATCACAAACTGCTATCTGGTTCTTTTCGTAGATTTATTAATTTTTGAAGTACGTGAAAAAACTGCTAACATGTAAATGTACTCCCAAAAAACGCGGTTATACTTATTGCAAAGTTTTTTAACGGACAACATTAGTTTTTTTGACAAGTACTAATAAAAGTTATTCACACTTCTATCTTCAAATCTTTGACTAAGATTTATATCACAGAGTAAATTATCTCCATTTCTAGGTTTTTCGGAGCATTACTCACTCTTCAGGCGGCGCCAGTTTGGAACCACTGTTGTAGTCTCTACAGCAAACACGTCTTCTCCTCCCTTTTCCTATGTGTGTATTTGTGTCTTTAACTTTCTTAAAAATTTTTTTCTTTGCATTTACAGTGGCTAATTTGCGTGTGGGAATCAGCTTTTGGTCTGCTTGACATCTTTTTCCTACCAAAAGCGATTATTTCTACTTTTTAATTAAAATCAGAATGGAATCCTTCTTTTTTTTTCTTTAAGCAATTGTGTGATTACTAATTGTTCAGTTTTCATTATAAAATCTATTAAAAAGTTTGAAACATTCCTAAAATATCAGAAATTCATGTATTAAATGTATGTAATTCATAAAAATTCAGTAAGTTTGCTTTGGAGAGAGGGGAGAGAAATTCATACGATGAATAATTTTTACGATCAATATAATTTAAATAACAATGTTTTAAAGAGTTAAATAAAAATACAGCTTTATTTAAAGACAATCGCATGGTTCTTAATTGTTTTTATTTCAGTTATTTGTTTCTTCAAAAATATGGAGATCCAGTCATCTTCGAGATCGATAGAATTTTATATGTTATTTACCCTAATCTAAGTTTTCCTTTTTGTCTCATTTATAAATTTATATTGAATAAATGGTTTTCTAATACATATTAAAAAATCTGATGTGTGCACCACATGACTCCCTTGTACGGAATATTAAATTATACCATTTTTTCTTGCATTTCATTTAAACTTAGTGGATTGAATTAAATCTACTTCGTCGATATCGCATAAACCACAATAGAATAAATGCACTCTTTAAAATTCACTATATTTGTTTGCCATAGCGACACTCTGGCCCTAGATTCACTTAACAGTGTTTCATTTCGTTCATTTTTAACTCAGAATGTGCAAAACTTATATCATCTTAAGTCGTTGCCACATGTTCTATTCAAATACTATAATAAATCTAAAACGATTTATAAAAGAAATTAAGCAAAGAACAACAACAACAAACCAAAAAAAAAAAAAAAAAAAGCTTTTTAGAGACGATTTAGTATTTTTCATTCAATTAATTCAGTTTTCACTTCGTCACAAGGCAAAAATACATTAAAACTCAAGATGCCTGTATTGAACTCTTAAACACTTATTTCCTCGAATGAATTCCAGAATGGATTAAGCATGATTTAATTCGCAATAATAAAAAAAGGCGTTATCTTTGTTATTGCGAGCTTACTTTCTCTAGATTGGCAACAAATCTACTATTCTGCTGTTTCAAATGTAAACAAGCAATGGCCGCTATCGAAAAATTATTAGGCTTCGCGGCACTTAAACAACTTTTAATTGTTGATAATTCTAAAAATGTTGCATACAGATTTACTAAAGGCATAAAAACCTTAACCAAAAGATAAGAACAACATAATTCAATCATTTTTAAAGCAAAAAATGCACAATTTCCAAACATATAAGAATAAAGAAACTGAGATGAGCCAAGTAACAGAGTGCATATTATACAAAATTTCAACGTTCTGAGGCTACTCGTTTTTGAGTTATGCGAGATACATACGTACGTACGTACGCACAGACGCCACGAAACATTCTCTTCAGAATTCATTTTAAATTAGTTGTACAATTTTTTTTTGGGGGGGGAAGAGTCCTTTATCCTGTCCTTACGTACAGATGTCACGCAGGAACATCGTTAAATTGCCTTCGATAGCGGTGAAAATGTATATTCGCGTTGAAATATGCTGCCTGAAACTTTTCGGGATTACAATACTTCCTTTTACTTCGTACAAGGAAGTAAAAAAGGGGGATACGACAATCGGTCTGTAGTGCTCGTCTTCCTATGCTGGTCCACTTTCAACAACTACTATTTCTAGTTCTACTTAAATCAGTAACACTTTTATATCGTATATGTTTCTTTTAATCCTTTTGAATGCATTCTGAACATCGCAATGCTTCAGACAACTAATAAGTTTTGTTACACTTTACTAACTTGTTTATAAAAAATGAACTAACTAATCAATTTAGAAAAACAGAAGAAAAATCTTACTTTTTGAAAAATTAACTAAATAATCTATTTATCATATGCTTTTAGCAACTTCTACATATTTTACGGTGTCGTGCAAAATAGCTTTGAGAGAATCAACACGTTTACAGAAACTCAGATTGACTACTAATGCAGTTATAGTTAATTACCATAGGCTTAAACGAAAGGGAATAGCCATTAAGAGATAAAATTAGGCACTTTTCTTGGTACTTTTTCATTTAAAAACAGTTACATCTAGTTTCTAAATAGTCTGCATTAATGAAATTTTTCGTACTGGGCAATGTAAAAATAAAGGAATTAACAATTTTGGCTGAACAGATAAAACTAGATTGAGTAGTTCTTCGTCCTGGAGCCAGATCCTGATAAAACAGCTAGTTGTATAAGGTTTTCATGATTTTACCATGTATAAGAGCCAGTTTCTGTTAGAAAAGGCTCCGCGAATGCGTCCCTTCTCTTAGGCAGATAGTCCTCGTGTAATTTGCCGCAATTTATTTATCAATCAGCTAACAAATAGGCATACTATGATCTTTAGATTGTTATTAAATAATATCGAGTAACTACATTTTGAATTTGTTTGAAATTATTCTGTGGTTTTTCACAAATTAAATTAGAACTTTAGAGAAATTTGTTCGCAGTGAATAATAATATACTTACTTGCTGAAAAAAAATATAGTAAAAACTTAATTATTTAATCTAAATAAATGAATTATTGCAAAAAATCTGAAACGAATAATTAATTTTAAACGCATAATTGAAGTATATCAAGTAAAATTCTGTTAGTTTTCCTTACTGGAACCATTGGCAGGTTACCATTTAAACAAACCATAATTACTATAAATAGCAACATTATGCATGAATCTGCAATCAGATGCAAACATTTCGAATCTGAATATGGAAGATGATAGAACGAAACATGTTCATTTTGGAACACGAAAATGTTTGTAACAGAATTCAGCTAAGCACACGAGGACTATCTGCCTCAGGGAAGAGATGCCTTCATGAAGAACTAGTTGCCATTAGTAGGCATCACAAAAATCAATATTCTTTTAGATTATTTTTAATCTTTTAAATTGAATCAGTGCTTATAGTATCAAATAATTTCTAGCTTTTAATGAAATTCTAACAATCATCAAGAAACAACGAAGAATAAATTATCATTTTCGAAGATAATTGGTACTTTTCAAAACTTTTTACGAGTATCTGGAGTCTCAAAAATTTATACACAAGCAGATGAAAAGATGATCAGTAGTTTTCTTTACAAATTACATTTAGTATCTCAACTGGGCATCTAAATCGGCGAGTGGACGTAAATGATGGTATCTTGAAAAGCGTTTATTTTCCTATTAATCATATCAATATTAGTTACATAATTTGCAGCTGGTTTTATTAACTTTTTATTATTGAAATACAGGGTGGTCGGAAACATGGTTATGAGCTTCCTTTCCAGACAATTTCTCTCAATTAATTTTCGTAAAATATGGCGCAGAATGCTATTAAAAGTCTCGATGCTTTAAAAGAGGAAAGATTTATTATTAAAGAACATTTTAAGTGACTTTTCTTATAATAAAAACTCTCATTAACTGAAATTAATTGAAACTAGATAATTAACTTGTTGAAACTAAAAACGTTGAGATTATATGCATAATTCTGAAGAAACGTTCAGTAGATATTTTCACCAAAAATAAAGTTTTTTTTTTCCCCTCCCAAAATCGGTAAATCGGTAGCGACATGGAAAAATAAATTGAATCAGTAAACTCATTCTCGAAAGCATACGCGAAAGTTTCCTAGAAAAATGCGCAATATTCTGTTTTTAATGATCTAAAGCACAATTAATATTTTGGAGATGTTATTTTACAAGGTCCAAGTAAACCGTTTTTCATAGAATACGTTCTTTATTTTGAACGTGTAGTTTGGAAATACACATCCAGGTTTAATATTTAGGGAAATAAAGTCTGTAGCCAACTTTTTTGAACCATGTACAAGATCCGAAAGTAGTGAAACTCCCCCTTCAGGACACAAGCACTAATCTCCAGAAAAATTATCAAATTTAACATGTCGGAGAGTAAACAATGATTCAGTAACCTTCTAGACAGAAAACTTTGCCAGCTGGCAAAACGCGATCCTGTAAAATAATCCTCCAACTCCTCTCAACGATAACCTCGAAAGTAGATCCTAATTTCGGTTGTTATAGAATAAAAATATTTGAGAGACATAAAAAAACTTACTTTGGCCCTCTCCAACTTTTGTCTTTGTTCATGGAATGCTGGTGGAGATTTTCTAGCTGTAAGAACAACAAAAGACATGAGCGCTGAAAAACAATTCTTGTAATGGTAAAAGTTCAAATACATTTGCACAGAGGTGAGAGAAGCAGCTTTAAGTTAGAAGTATTTAGATGTTTAGGTGCAAATAAAATCATTTTGATTTGTAATAAATTTAAAATCTTACAAAATTTACAATTCTCTTATTTTGATTAAAATCAGAATTATTCCTTATTAAATAATTTTAAATGGATTGCATACATACATACTTACATACATACATATGGATTGCATACTTTTGCATACATACATATCTGCTATTTTTTCAAATATACCAGTATTAAACGAGCTAGTGCATAACAATAACGTTTCTTTTACCTTAGTGACATAATTACAACGTTTTTTTAACCTTACTTCTTAATATTTGAATAGACATTATATGAAAATTGCATATTTTCTCACATTAAACAAAGTCCGCTTTATAATTCAAAACTTTAAACTGAAAAGTGTACACATTAGGAATTTTACATTTTGCTACTACAGAGTGGGCAAAATAAGACCTACCAATGCTAAACACAAATAAATTTTATATTTTTTGATATAATTATTTTTTTTTCTTTTTGTTGGTTATAATTGTATTCTTGGAAAATTATTATGGAACCATACATTAAAAAACAACACGTTAAAATTATCGAGTTTTTCATTCTTGTCAACGATCAATTGGTATTTCACAGCGTAAATATCGGCAATATTTTAATTCAAGATCATCTCGCACAGCCTTCACGATTAGGAATTTGGTCGGTCGTTTTGACGAACAGGGTTCAGTGCCTGAACCGACCTGGAAGAGGTGTCCATCGGACAAACTGTGCGGTAGAGTGTTGCAGATGGGATCCATCTGGCTCAACTCGTCGTCGTCGTCGTAATGGAAAACGCGTTAAAAAGAGCAAAAGAGCCAATCTCTGTATCGAGAAAAATGGTGGACATTTGTTTGATGTCATATTTCATACATAATTTCCATAAAATATATTTATTGTGTAAAAAATAATCAAAATAAATGATTATTACAAGAATTATCCGCGTTTAACATTAGTAGGTCGTATTTGGCCCACCGCTGTAGAAGAATGAGGCATAAAATCGACAATTTTTCTACCGGCACAGGTTCAACACGGCAGCCCTAAAACTATTTTAGAACCTACGTTAGGCTACACACATAATAACTATTTAATCAAACTTTTAGCCTTTCGGTTGTTAGTTTATAAACCTTGTCTGCGCAATGTAAATGTTGGTTTTACGCCGATGTACATCTTATATCATATTTATGGTATTGTGGCGTCGATATGCAGTATCATTAGTGTATGTATAAGATAACTTTGTGTTAGTCACAAAATGTGCATTAATTTCTTTAATTATTATTATTATTTGTCATTAAAAAGAGGGACCTACGTCTGAACGCTCTCCAAACTGACAGAGCTTTATTCAAAATCTACTTCAAAGTAAGACTGTTATTTTGTCTAATTTTAAATTTAACACTGAAGTGTTATTCTTTTAGTTTGATGCAGTTGATTGTTTAGTGTTTTTGTTCTATAAGAAGAGAATAACCTTTAAATAATAAGAACAAATTTTTATTAGCTTGTTATCGTTTCGTTCCAGGTGATTCAGCTTTGCACTGACGGATCAGTAATGAATCGTCTTTGAGATCGTCTTCATGAATGTTGGAGAAAGTTCTCCTGCTATATTAATGAGTTTAATAACCTTCACCCCACAAAGCTCATATTACTCAAAACTGAGCTGATTTATTAAAAATACTCAATAAAACAAGATTAGTTCATTAATGACAAACTGCGGAGCTGACTTCGAACAAACGGACAAAATATAAATGACTTCGGACAAAAATATAAAGCAATAGTTAAGATAGTCTTTTTAAAATTTTTTTTTATAGAAATTTTAGAGTTTAGGGGTTCTCAAAGAATTACGCAGTGGGTATCCTTCGGGACAGGTGTCAATAAAAGTAAGATTGTAACATATAAGCAAACAGCCATTAAATTTCAATTTATAAGATTCAGCTTACGCAAAAAGTGAAGTGAAGCAAACTTCCAATAGCAATTTGCGATACAGTAGAGGCACTGAGAGTTTCGGGGTGGAGGCTTCTTGAGAGGGAGAAATCACTCCACCATCACCAAGAAACAAACTTAGGTTATCGAACTGATATACTGATAAAAACACCATATAACACATGGGATAAATGGTTTTCTTTCGTTACAATATCCTTATGGATTCTACAGAAAAGTCATATGAATTCTATCTTCTCCCGAAGGATTCTGTTCAATGATGAAATTTATTTCTTTGTGGGTAAGTTAAAAGAGGTATTAAGGCAAGATTGCGATTTAAAACTATTGTGAAACAGATCCCACCCAAACTGTCACTAACACCCTCTAGTTACCACCAATATTTAATTTTGAAGCCGAATACGTAAAAATTTGCAATGACCTCGCCGAAACTCAAACTCTGGACCTTCCAACTGCTAGACGGGCTTACTTTCCAATTATACATGAAGGTATGCTGTAAGAAGGGAGAAAACAACTTTATAACCAAAATCATAACACTGAGCTCCTACCTTTCGAGGATATTATTAATTCGATCCTGGATAGTGAGTATTATACTGGATCATATGGAATAAGGAATCATTCGACCATTAACAGTATATTGATGTCAACCATTGACAGTATATTTACTTCCCATCTTTCTGATCAATTACTTAATTATTAGCAACTACTTATTTATTAATAAACCTTACTTCTGCAGCTCTAGAACATTTCAATCGAAAGTTAAAAACATACATAAGGATTAAAGTGGATTCCCTATTAATAGCGCTACAGGGTAATTAAAAGGTACGACTACAAGTGCAGATTGACAGGTTTGAACAGAAATGCTACAAATAACTGTATAGCATATAAAAAGAGTCAAATAAGAAACTTACTTGGCAAAATTCCTTGGTCAATCAGCTGGTTGAGCGGACGTCGAAGCATAAGTTTAACTTTAAGAGCTAAAAAAGAAAATAACGATAAACTATTTCTCAGTTACAATATCAAGACAGCTATTCAAAAATAATTCGGGAAAGAATATTAATGGAAAATAACCATCGGGTTAAAATAAACATGATTCGTACCACATTTCATTGTTAAAATTCATGACAAATATTTGCAATGAATCATGTAAGAAACAGGATTATTCTTCCATGACACCTGTCGAATACCTTCTTTAATTCATTTCGTAAATATTCACATTCCAAGATTAACTTCATTGTTAACATAATGTTGAACAAAATTTACACGAAACAAAAAGGGTGTGCCTTAGAATCAAAGATAAAAAGGCATATTTACACCGGTCGTCCTTTTACGATGGTTCATTTTATAATATTCCGAGCTGATAATCGGAAAACGTGATAGATATCTTACTTCCGATTGATCTGTTTTCGACGATATATTAGATGTGATACGTGCCACACACACGAACAAGAACATACAGAGGCTGGTGCAAGATCTTTCGGTCTGTTACAGAGAAACATACTTTCAAAAAGAAGGATTAAATTGCCCAATAAAGAAATCGGTTATCTATCTGTAAGAAGCTATTATGCACGTTAATAAAACTAATATCAATGCCCTAATGCCATACCAAGTCTCACCAGAAAATAGTGAAATTGAACTTGTTCAGTGTAACAAATAACCATCTAACAATTAATTGAATTTAGTCCTATAATTATTCTTACTTGTCTAGCTGCAGATTAGAATCTATCGCAGAACATTTCGAGTTAGCTAAGCTAAAATATAGTGTTCGGTGCCGCTTTATTAGGTTTGCTGGCTGCCATATTTTGAAGCAAGAGAAGGCAAGGATGTTTATATATGCTTTTGAATGAAAACGCTAGGCCCAGTGAAAACGCTATAAGTAAATGTTTAGTCTCGTTAAACAAGCACAGAACTGTTATGTGCTTTCGAGTTCGTAGCGGATTGAAGCACGCAAAACCGATGAAAATTTGATACAACTGAATTTTTCCAAAACATTTTACAGTTCTGGAACTTTTCACACAAAAGTGTTCGAACATCTCATCTCAGTATGACAGAACACAATCAGTAGTTACCGCTTCAAACAATAAGACCGTTGAACATAATGTAATGCTAAGAGTTTCGAAAGCGTAACCTCGCACAGTGATCTCTTAATATTCTGAACTAAACTGATGTTCTCTCCCGTCTTATATAGCTTTCCTACCTCCGTTTCCTACCTACAGGATTTCCAGTACCTTAAGTTTCTCGAAATAGCTGGAAGACACACACAGGTATAGTTACATAGGGCCGGATACAGTTGCAGTTACGTAGGGATCAGATCAGTTATAGTTACACAGGGATCGGGCCAAAACGTCACCAATAGGTAGCCAAATTTGGCGACAAAAATTATTTGCCAAACTCATTGCCAGCTTGGCCTTATCTCGCTAATTTGGTGAGATAGATATTTACCTCAAATATTGGATGGACTTATCCCCGTAACCTTATTTTTCCTGCGATGCTTCCCATCTTGAGGCCTTTTACATTACATTATGCAAGAGATACTACAATTAATATATAATTTTACTAAAATTATTTGCATATATACAAAATTCTTAAAATTACTTTTGTTTTAAAAATACTATTCGATGGGTGAACAAGGTTGGACACTTACATTCTTTATTTTTGTCTATGGTTCGCTGCAGAGATTCTCCGTTCTCCTGTTTGGCGGATGTTTTGGAGTCGGAGGACGTCAGAGGTATGCACATGGAGTTCTCAGTTGTGTCGCGACCATCGGCGGCAAGGTTCATATTGCAATCCTTGAACCACTCGGGATAGATGCTAACAATGGTCTCCAACAAATCTTGATCCAATTGGATGTCCCAGTAACGTTGCTGATTATCTCCACTTGCTTTGGAAAGGGAAAAAAAGTTGGTTTACTCAGTTGCGAAAATAAAATAAGCATAGCATTAAATGCTGTTACATGGAAAACAAAACAAAACAAACAAAATCGAAAGTTTTCATTAATAATAAAGTGGATTTATTCTGATGAAAAAAATGGGAAAAAGCTCCTATAAATAGAACATGTTTAAGTCAGTAAATGCATATACTATTGTACTCGGATTTATCCGACGAAAGAACATCACTGTAATAAAAGAAACTGATTTGAAGTACTGAAAAAAATGTGATCACTGTAGAAACTACTATAAACTACATATATCTATCTCTTTACAGGGGACCACTGATAATATCAAGCAAGGAAATTTTAGTAAATATATATTAGAAACTCAAAAATTTCCGGCCAAATAAAACAAAACTAGCATAGTGGATGGAGCGCATAAAAAGGTAGTCGTTATTACGTTAGCCAACAAATTATACAATATTTATCATCGGAAATGTATCAAAGGCGATATTCTACAAAATACCTAGGCACTTTAGAGAATGCCGAAAACTGGCCGGCAATGTATGAAACGATTAACATATCATACATTTCCTAAGCATTCTATGGAATGCCAGATGACAAAATCGGCAAAGTAGGAAATGCAGCCTCGATTCGTTTCGAATATCCATACATTTAATATATTTACAGGACAACATGAACATTTTTCATACTTTCCCTAAATAACATTTGATATTATATAAAGCATTTAGTATGCATTACAGCCCACCTGCGGCTGAGGGGTAAAATCACTGAACACTGGTAATTCCAGCGTGGGTTCGATTCCAGGCAAACGTGCAGGCCGCATGAGCGTATTCTCTGTCTCTAATGTGTATACCGTAAAATATACATTACTTACGATGCTTGTGGAAAATATATAATAAGTGTCATTTTCGTCCTTTACTTAAAAACGTCAGGATTTCTATAAAATGCCTAGGAATATGCCTTCTAAAGAATGCCGGGGTTTCATACATTGCCGGTAATATATTCAAAAGCTTTAATCACGAAATATGATTTTTAAAAACTGAATATAGCTATTGAATTCTTTGTTTTTCCTGCATCCATAAATTTAGATTTTACACAAAGTGAAATCAAAAGTCAAACTTCCTAATTTTTGAAGCTGCGTTCTCCATGTAGCAAGATCTTCAATTAGGCATTTAGTACGAAAGCATCGAAAAGAGTTTGTTCATCTTTTTTTGTATAGGTTTGCTCTTATTCTGTAAAGTAGAAAAGAAATTCTCTTGGAAGTTTCCCAAGCTTCTCATTCGTTCTTTCACGTTCTACTTCTGTCTATTTTTACATATATTAACTGCTTTCTTGAAACTAACAAAACTTAGTTTTATTTTCGACCATTATATAGTCTCTGCTTTTAAATATATTACAATATTACATAAATTTTAAAAAAGGAATGTGCACTATATATAATTTTAATTTAAATAACACAATACGAAATTTCAGTTCATGTGGTCCGGTTTCAGAACCATTATATATTACGTGTGTTGTTTCCGAAGTTCTAGCAATTTAGGTATAACTTTTTACCATCAGTATTACTAAGCAGTTTTTCAGTATTATCTCCATTTAACTGAATACACTTATTGTAACGAAAAACTAATTTTTTAAGTCGTCTTCAAAGAACCTTTTCGGTGTTTCCTCAAACCACTTGTTCTTGGGGAGGTTAAACTCTCAAATCTAACATCCCATAAAGAACTTTTCAAACGTGAAAACAGAATATACCTTTCACAGACGTTGAACAATTTCTGAAGTTTTCACACACTCTTTCCACAAAAAGAAACTGATTGTGCTTCGCATCTTCAATAACTGCTAAAACAGTAGTACAAAAATACGTATGTATCATTCAAACAACTTGTAGAGACATTAGGATTTTTAGGAAAGGCGGAGAAATGAAAAATGAGCAACCGCCTTCGCCCGAAATCGAATCACGGACCTCTGGAATACCGGCCCAGGCAGCTGGCCATTGCACCACGAAGGCATACCAAGAAAGCGAGAGAAATATCTTATAAACTGAACTATACTAAACAATATTGCATGAACATGTTAAGACTTGTCTCTGACCGATAATGTGTTGCCTCACAAGTTCTAGAAATTAAAACTTTGGAAAGACCGCACATATATAAAACGTTTGTTTACCTCAAGGATGTCTGCGCATTTTTCAACCTTCATAATGTATTGAATGCAGTCTGTCTTAAGCAGTTGTTAATAATTTCTATATATAACTTGTAGAGTCATGAGGGTTTTGATGCTGGAGACGTGACAAAATGTGCAATGCCCTCGCCAGGATTCGAACTTCAGACCTGCTGAATACGCGTGGAGTGCGCTTCCAGTTACACCACGAAGAGATAAAAAGGACGGATAAAATAACTTATAATCTAATTATGCATTAAAAATATTCACAAAAAGTATAATTTTTTTATAGGCTCACTTACGCACAGAGGTTTAACCATGCCAGTTAAAAGTTAAGGCATGTTGTTCTGATTAAGTTAAATTTCAGGATTCATTGCAAATTTGCATAACCTAAAGCAGGGTTCTCCAAATCATTTACCAACAGGCCGTATTGATTCTTTCACAAAGCTTAGAGGAACGAGATCTAGCTAGTTCATCACCATGGTGAAGTAATTATGACGACCAGTGTACACATTTTTTCAGCAGCGAGATTTTTGCAATTAGATCATTATGATAATACGAAGAGATTTGTTTCTTAGACTTTCATGTAATTTCACCTAACATAAATTTCTTAAAACTATTTAAAAGATTGCAAAATCTGCTTCTCCCAGAATATCAGAGATTTTTTAGGTTTGCAATGTAATTTTATTTTTAAGAGGATTTAGCTTTTCGTTGTAACAATTTATCAGCGCATTTTGTTTACATTTTGATCTCGTATAAACTTTTGCTCATCAATTTCATATTTCCGGCAATGTCTTCCGTAAAAATATCTCCAAAATTAAAATAAATTACAACATATATTGAAGGGGGAAAAAAAAAAAAAACTGCGGCTGAAAATTTTTTTATGAACGAATTTAGAATACTACAGTGAAAGCAGGTAAAGATAATATGAGAAATATTTATTCTCGAAAAAGTACAATTACGAAATTTTTAATAGAGTGCTACGGTATTTCACTTATCGTTTAATGTTTATATTACTTTGTTTATTTTAAATTAAAAAAAAAATCTGAAAGCTTTCAGATTTACATTCGTTTTTTTAAATGTTTTGCGTGTTACCTTTATTTATTAAATATCAGTTCTTCGCACTTAAACCATAATATTCAATTCAACAGGAATATCGCAAAATAATTTTAATATGAGCGTGTCTTTAGAATTTCCAATACACAGTCTCGCGCGCTAGAGATAATTTTTTTTTTCGTACAGTGTTCCCATTCTTCGCTTTGAAATCGGTGAGTTTGTTAATGAAAAATTCTTTAATGTCTGACAAAATATGAAATAGATAATAAAACAAATTCCAAATTAGGGCTTCCAGATGCCCACATTCGGTGGAGGATTACGTTATTCAAAATTTGATGTAACTTCTCTAGGTACCGTTGTTTTATCACAATGCGAGAAACATATATATATTTATGCAGATTCTTCATTACGTAATTTCTTTAAATATAATACAGGGCTGTAATATTTGGTGGCAACAGTTAGAAAAGTGAATCAACACAAAATGCCAAAACGAAATTAATAGCCCTTCTGGGCTAACGCTCTTTGGGCTAAAAATAATAATAATAATAAAAAAAAACTTTGGCCGGCCAGACAGGTAGTGCTAGCGGGCCGTAGTTTGGAGAATTCTGATCTAAAGCATTATTAATCGATGAAGTAAATTTAGAAACTCAAATACTTGAATACCTATTGTTATGCACATTTAGGAACCTCACAATATCTCGTTAAAGCAGTCTTCATCATAAAATAATCTTAAAAGTTTTGTACTTATATTATATATGAAGGAAAATTCCACCACTTTAAAAACTGAACTGTCTTCATGTTCCGAACCTTTAATAGTATATGTACAGCATATTTCTTTTGTCAATAATGAAGAAAATAAAGACTTCTTTAAACTATGAGCAGAAAAAAAAAGGTACAACAATAAAGCTTCACGAAGTGCAAATACAAGCCCTTCCACAAAAAAGTTCAATGACCGAAAAGTTTGTATATATCTTTTGTCAATAATGAAGAATGGAATTTCTCAAGACAAAAGAGAAACATGCCGAAGTAAAACCTAAAATTAGCAAAGAGACAACTTTGTGTTTGCCGAATCCGATTCTTAAAGATTTCTATTCTTCGAAAATTTATAACATATCTTGCTAATGTGGTTTGAGATATATCAGCCAAACTAAAGGAGCGTTTTAAGTTTCGCACCAAGGAACACAAATCTTATACCCGAAAAGGTGAATTTAGCAGGTTATCAATAAAGCTTCCTCCATTACTAAATTGGATTTTATTGATGCGCTTCGTATTCGCAAAGATTTATCTTGTTTAGTTAATGGCTTTAATTCCAATCCAGTCCTTTCAAACACTTTTAAAATTATATTAACTTAATTTTTCAAATTCCGTTACTATTTCTGTCGACAGATGGCGCTAGCTTCTTGTTAGCTTTACTCCCAGTAGGTATAAATACAACCATGGCTTTCCCTTTGTTACAGATTTCTTTGCTGCTGACAAAGAGGGACCTGTATTTGTTTGCATTCGAAATCTATAGTCACTTGAAAAAAATCTATGCCAGATACAATGTTTTGTTTCTTTGCTTAATTTTATGTTTTACTTTCGCATGTTTCTCTTCTCCCTTGACAGCAGTAAAGTTCACGGGAAATACAAAAAACGTTCAATGACCACAAAATCTGCATAATCTCTTTTATCAATAATGATGAAAATAAAGAACAGAATTTATCAGAAAATTTGTGAAGATACTCTGCTAATTGGTATTTACTGAAAAGCTGAAAAGAATATTATTTAATTCTGAC